GCTTGGATAAAGAGTCTACTTCTGCTTATGGATGGCTAAAAGGAACCACCTCACCATGGTGGTGTTTCCAGGGCAATGCCAAGGCCCTTCAACAGATTTTAATTCAAGTAAATGTATAAATATACAATATAGTATATTGTTTGTTTTGCATTGTAACTTGTGCACTGGTTAGGTCAGACTCATAAAAGTTGTTATTCTAGTACTGGGTGGGCCAAAAAAAAAAATAAAGCTGTCATTTATGGTGAGCTGTTAATCAAGTTGTTGGCTGCAGAGTCTGATGAAATTTGGTAGGCAAATAGGGCAACACTATTGCAGTTTGTATGCCAAATTTCTCCTTTCTGACTAATGTTATTGAAGCTGTTATTTTCTAATGAGCTACAAGGAAATGTTTTCACTAAACCCAATGCTTATATTATATATGCTTATAAACTAACTATAAACACATACCAAGGGAGCTGCATTCCTTCTTTGTTGAGCTGAAAGAGTAAGAAAGTCAACAACCTCTTTTGGAGGATGATGGGTCAGTTGGGTTAGAAAATAATCGCAGCCTTTGACCGTGACCCTTTTCCAACCCAACATCATCATCCACCAAAATAGGTTGACTTTCTCACTCTTTGGCCTTTGACACAAAACCTGGGAGAAAATAATGGGGGTCCACCCCCATTATTAGAATTGGTGCAGAAAAGTCAAATGGGAAATTTTTAGTCCATCTAAAAATTGGCTTGTTTTGAGCATGAAAAAACATGGTTGATGACGTAGTAGTAGACTTTAATTTGTAATTAATAAACTATTTCATATAATAATATGAAATATGTCAATTTCAACTCAAATATTTGAGAAAGAATACCAAAGTAAATTTGTGAAAAAAAAACCAATGGAAACTATTGTTTTTGTGACTAGTTGAATTTTTTTGTTTTGTTTTGGATTCATCTCACCCCCCTGGGATCAGCTTCCCACTACCCTATTCTATGGTAGTAAAAGTCTCATTTTCACCTTTGTTGCATGTCTCACATCCTTCTCCAACTTTGCCTTCATCCTGTCCCAGGTACTTAAACCTCTAATTGCAGACATATAAAGCATGAACTTTCATCACTATCACTATGTTGGATCCTCTATCAACATGTCATTACAGGCGGGTGTACTGGACAAACTGGAATCCTACTCGGCCAGCAATTCAACGATCTTATTTCAGTGGCTATGGAATGGAGACCATTATCAAGGATGGAATCAGAATGCCAAATGATCTGGCAATTGATCAAGCAGCACAGAAGTTATATTGGGTTGATGCTCGACTGGATAAGATTGAAGAATGTGATCTTGATGGGAAGAAGAGAAGGGTAAGAATGTTCCCCATCAAATTATGGGGTAGACATAATAACCCAAGGAGCATGTAAGTTGCATACCACCAGCTACACGGTGGGAAAGAAACTGGCAGCAAACCACCTCTATTAGTTTGCAGGGCACCTGCTGCATGTTCATGCCAACCTGCCACTTTACAGACTGCTAGCAGTTAACACATTCCCAAATGGACCACCAGCTGGGAAAATAGCTGTTGCCCCTTTGCATACCCAATTCAACTCCAACACATGGCACGCTTATGTGCTAAGGAGAGACAACTGCCATGCTATGCCCAATCATCTCTTCTACGACTGATATAGGGGGCTTAGAAATTAAGTCATGAAGTATACAGGCTGACGTATTAAGTGAGGCTTGTGCTCTCCACACTTGTCTATTTCCATATTTAACCTCAACATATAATATTTTCCTGAATCACATATTGCAATCACAACATCATAATTCCATGTTTTCCTAATATCTGTTTGTAAATTGCATAAGAAAAAGAAAGGGGGAAGGAAGCACTTTTGTTTAATCAAAAGTGCTTAAAAAAATTAATTTTGTTTAATCAAGGATGGCAGGTCCTTGATCATCTATTAGTTGATGGTTCACAGCCTGGGTTCACAGCAATTGAAGGGGGCAATCCGCAAGGCAAGTTCGTAACAGATTGACACCATTCTTTGAACGCTTTACACCACTGAAACACGGACGAGCTTGACAAACATTCATCCTTGAACTGAGCTTTGAGCCTGCAATGAATTTCAGCTGCTGGGGTGTTCTCTGCAAAGAGAAACTTAAAAATAATATGCTGCACAGCAGCACTAGACACTCCACTGACATCCATCTTGAATACTCCGTGGGCTGTTGACATGGACAAATAATGACTGCTGATCAGGATAGCCAACATACTGACCTTAGAGTTCCCAAAGACTTGCCAACATAAAACAAATTTACCTTGCGGGAAAAAAATAAGTCCAGTTTGGTCTTGGATGCCTCTCGTACATCTGGATCATACCATGTAATGCTATGGGAAGGAGTTGCAACTACATTATCAAAAGGGAGCTGGTGGCCCACCACTTGTACTAGGTAGCAGGCCATCTGCTGCATGGTTCCACTTGCTGCTACCTGCCTATGACTCCCTAGCTGCCAGGAAACCAACACATTCATCAGATGCAACATCCTTGAGGAGGTGGTCCACCGGCCAATCCAGTATTCTAGCTGCCACATTACTGCCTCCCTCAGGACTCTGCCAGTATAGCACCTGAATTGCCTAAGGCCTGCCACCTTGTGCTACTTGGATCATTTTTCCCCCTGAAATCAGCTCATGACAAGCAAGTTCATTTGCATCACTTACTTTTACTCTTTCAGATTCTGCTGCAGGATCATCCCCAACATCCATTCCAAGTAGCAGTCCATGGGAAGTTCTTATTCTGGACTGATTGGGTACTGAATGATGTCGTTAGATTTGACATGATCACTGAGGAGCTGCATCATATGGAACAGAATGTTGCCAAGCCCATGAGCATCATTGTGGTCTCAGATAATGATCTG